TCTACAGGTCAAAAATTCTGTAAACTACCTTTTTTTTTTTTTTTCTCTTAAGTTCCCTCTAAAGCTCTCTCTTCACCCAGGATTTTCTTCCCTGCTGGCTCTTCCAGCACATGGGGACAGCATGCTCCTATGCCTTGAAGATTTCTGTCCTGAAGAATGTCCAGTCTTCCTGGACACCACTGTCCTCCAGGACCATCTTCCTAGCAACTCTCTCAGCAGGTCTCCTAAACAAGCTCAAATCTGCCCTCTGGAAGTCCAAGGGGACAATTCTGCTGATCCCCAGTCCTTACGCCATAACTCTGTCATTTCAGGACCACTGTGCCCAAGGCATCCTCCAATTTTTTCATCACACAACAGTCCTTTTCTCTTGGCAAACAACAGTCCAGTGGGGTGCCTTCCCTATTTGGTTCCCTCACCAGCTGCATTAGGAATTTATCTTCCACACACTCCAGGAACCTCCTAGACTCCTTCCTCTCAGTGGTGTTATATTCCTATCAGACACCTGGCAAATTGAAGTCCCCACAAGAAAAAGAGGCAGCAATCTTGAGACTGTTTTATGGTTCTATGTTCCATGACTCCCTAAAATCAGACCAACAGCTGTGTCCATCAAAGTAGGAAAAGCAACTGGCACTGAAAAAAACCAGTGCAAATTATTTTGTTCAGTTTTTTTGCTATGTTAGCAGTTATTTGCAAAAATCAGATTTACCAGTTTTAAGATCTTGAAGGACTTAGATGAAATTGCATGCATTCAATTAACTTGTTTCCAATGCAAAACAAATGGACAAATTTGTTTTGAAAAATTTTCTTCCCTCATTCGTCTATGTTCTGAGTAGCTTTATTAGTCAAATAATATTGCACATTCTAAAAGAAAAATCAAATTCCATTAAAATGCAATTTAGAGAGACAAGAAAGAAATTAATCTATAAATAAAAATACTACTACTGAAAAGATAACATAATGGATAACTGAAAAAAAATTCAATAAATCAAGAAAGTTGTTAAAAAACATTAAAAAATTATTTGCAGAAAAATTCCAACAGAGAGGCTCAAAGCTTCTGACATTGCACATAACTACAAGAAATTAAAAACTAGAAAATAAAAATATAGAAAAAAAAAGAAATTAAAAAAATAGATGAGCTGGAAGCGTGTCATATGATGCTACTCTGAACTTATTACCCATTGTTAGTATCTTTATAGGGTACTATAAAGGCTAGGGATCTGAAAATCATAGTAAGTTAGTCAGCTAGACTCCAGAGCTTTTCCAGGTCAATGTCACACTTGAAATAGGCCTGCATGCAACAAGAGGAGGTCAGCCATGGTGCTCTTTGGCTAAACTTATTACGAAAACCTTCAAAAATGGAGATGACAAGCTCTCTCTGGGAAGACTTGCTCCAGTCCTGTACTGTCCTGGAGAGTACTCCTTTCCAACAGATTCCCGTGTGTTAAGACCACTGCGCTTCAGTCACATTAAACAAACAAGAAATTGTCAAGTTTTGATAATCTTCATTTACAATCAGATGTATTTGAATGGCTTTCATAAGTTTATAAATTCTTCTGTATTCTGTACCCAGACCACTCACAAGATGCCATTATTTGAATCACTAATGATATTTAGAAATATCTCTTATAACCATTTACTTGAGACCAGAATCCAACATATTATAAAGCATCAGAGGTTCTACTTTTTGTCAACCAAGCAGAAGAAAATAGTACACTTGTTAAAAATCACTTTTTTGACTCAAAACCTAACATCTTGCCTCTCTGCAGATTTTCCTCCAGTGCAAATCACTCACCCATGCTCAGACTGTCTGCTTGGGTAATAGGGCAGAAGGGCAGACATGAAATTACTTCCAGTCTGCTAAATTCCCTCTCCCTGCTGTTAAAACCTGGCCTACACTTCTGGGTCTCCCAACACTCTGTGACATATACTTCAGGACACTGGAGATGCTCCCGTGTTATTCTGAAGGCTGCCAGTGGTGACCTCAGTTACTTTAAGACATGAATGATATTCTTCACAGTTACCACACAAGTTCTTCTGCGTGGCAGAAGAAAATCTGAGGCCACGAGATGACATAAGGAATATACTTACTCAGAGAGACATAAAAAGGTTGAATTTTCCATCACAATCTACATGTACACGTGTCCTTGTTTTGTCTGGGAAGTAAAATTAAAGTCAATTTTCTTTCTAGTAGCTGGTACGGTTCTGTGTTTTGGATTTAGGATGAGAGTGATATTGACAACATGCTGATCTCTTAGCAAGCAGGGTTTACAATAAGTCAGGAAGTTTTCAGCTTCTCACACCAACTCACCTGCAAGTAGGCTGGGGGGCACAGGAAGCTGGCAGAAAGTACAACCAGGATGATCCAAACTGGCCAAAGGGATATTCCATACCATGGGGTGTTATGCTCAGTATATACACCAGGGAGAAAGCCAGCTGGGGGCTGCTCAGGAACTGTCTGGGCATGGGTTGGCAACAACTGTACTGTGCATCTCTTGTTTTGTATATTCTAATGATTACTATTATTATCCATTCCTTTTCTGTTCTATTAAAAAGTCTTCATCTCAACCCACAAATTTTACTTTTTTTCCCCCCAGTTCTCTCCCCCATCCCAGTGGGGAGAGGGGAGCAAGCAAGCACTTGTGTGGTGTTTAGCTGCCTGCTAAGTTAAACCAGAGCAACCAAGTTAGGAGAAAAAGCACAGTAAGCAAATAGAGAGACACTAATTAGCTGATCGTACTCCAGGCATACTCTCACAAATATGCAATTTGCAGTAATAAAGTATTCTGACACTGTCTAGCTGAAGTCATGAATCAATAATAATAATCTATAATACCTTCTACTTTGCTGCAAGTTAATTCTTTACAGAAAGTCCTTGGGTTATCTCCATGAACTGCCATATCACATTACAGCAGCCCTGAGGACACGGCAGGGCTGCTTATCTTGGCACGCAAGAAGCCAATGGGGTGTCCCTTTTACCTATGGGAGCAGTGTAAACACTGAGGCAGAACTGTTGTGGTCACAGCAGACCTCTAAATGTAACAGCTGTCGATCATTTCTTGCTGGAAACTGCTATGGCTTTTCATGCTCACAATTGTGTATACAGCACAAGGTTTTAGATGGTTTCTGATATTACAGTATCTAAGGACAGGCCCATCAAAACCAGAGATCTATCCTTTAAGGAAAGGCGCAACTTGCACTGTGACATGGTGTCTAAAAACCAGATCAGCATGGTAAACACACCATATAATTTCTATCCTTTAAAATTTGGTGTGGACTTCAGTTCCTCACTGCTCACCCCCAAGTACAAACCCACTGCTGAAAATACACCATAGCCCAGCCATGAGCTTCATTCAGCCATTCACCAACTGTGCATCTCAAGCCACCCCCATTGTGTAAAATCCTGTGTTTGTTAGCCAGAACAAGGGTAACCAGGGACATTCAGGACAGCAACGAGCAGGAGAAAGCCTTGACAGCAACAGAATGTGATGCAAACACACATTGCTGAGTGGAGTCAGCAATGAAGGTTCATTAGCACTAGTTCATTTTCAGCCCCACAATCCTTCTCAGGGCTCTCCCTCACACCTGAGGTTTGTGGAATACTTGTGCCTTGCAGAGCACAGAGCTCACCACAGTTATGTAAGTTTAAAGGCTTCTGTTCCCAGTTCTTGCCCGAGAGATGATTCACAGCACAGGTAGCTCACATGTCCCTTCCCGTGGTCCAGCTGAGTGGTAAAGTAAACAACCTACCATTGGGCAATGCAATGGGTGAGCAGCACCGCCTGTGGACACAGCAGATAGCTAAAGGTGACCAGGCCCACACCTAACTTTTGCCAAAAAACCAGTATGTCCCTTTCACCAACAGCCAGAGAAGGCAGGCAGGCAGGCAGCCTGGCATCCTCTGTGGCAGGGAGAGTGAACTCTGATTCCTCACTGCATCCCGAGCACATGGTGCCAAGCTTTGGCAGCAGCCTGACCCCAGCTCTCCTCTGCCAGGAAATGGGCAGCACACAGACCAGACATGAGCTATACCAGGTTCACAAAATTACAAAATCACAAAATCATTAGGGTTGGAATGGATCTCTGGAGATCATCTAGGCCAACCTCCTGACAAGGGAGGGTCACCTTGAGCAGGTGACACAGGAACATATCCATGTGAGTATGGAATGTCTCCAGAGAGGAAGACTCCATGACCTCCATGTGCAGCCTTTTCCAGTGCTCTGCCATCCTCATTGTAAAGAATGTCTTCGTCATGTTGAAGTGAAACTTCTTGTGTTTTAGTCTATGGCCTTTGCTCCTCATCCTGTTGCCAGGCACCCCTGAAAAGAGCTGGGCACTATACCCATGACACCCACCCCCGAGATAATTACATGCATTAATGAGCTCCCCTCTCAGTCTTCCCTCCTCCAGACTAAACAGGTCCAGCTTCCACAGTGTCTCCTCAGAAGAGAGATGCTCCAGATCCTTCCTCATCTTTGTGGCCTTCCACTGGACCCTCCCCAGCACCTCCTTGCCTTTCTTGTATTGAGGAGCCCACACTCAGCACAAGTACTTCTGCTTCAGGTTGGGACGGCCTCTGTTCTATCCCTTCTTCCCAATAGCCCATGCCCTGGTGCTTTTGCGGCAGTCCGGAGCCTGGCAGAGGGTCCGGTGGCAGCCCATTCCCGGCGCTCCGAGCAGGGCCTGTGCCCGGTGCCGGTCGCAGGCCCAGTGCCGGTCCCGCTGTCGCTCCAGGGCACGGCTCGGCTCCTCCCGAGGCCGCAGCTCCCCGCGCCTCTGCCCCAAGCAGCGCCGCGACCCCACGCCTCAGCGGGGATCCCCGCGTCCGCCGCCCCCCGGAGCCCTTCCCCGCACCTGTAGCTGTAGCCGCTGAAGCGCTGGCTCTCCCGCAGCAGGGCGCGGTACAGCCGCAGCACCTGGGCACGGCTGGACGCTGCCATGTTGCCGACACCGAGCCGCTCCTCCCGCGGCGAGGCCCCTTTTCCCCGCCCTCCCGCCGCCCGCGCCGGGCGCAGCCGCGGCGGAGCGGAGCCGCAGGGCCGGCGGTGAGTGGCGGCGCGGAGCGGCAGCGGCCGCGGCTCGGCCCGGGCCCAGCGCGAGGCGCGGGCGGGGCGGAGAGGGGCGGGGAAGAACGGGAAAGAACGGGTCCCCGGCGGGGCAGCCCCGGGGGCGGAGGGCTCGGGGGACTCGGGGTCAGTTCCCGGGTCCCACCGGGTCGGGCCTGCCCGGCAGCTCCCAAGCGCGACTGGCCCGGGGGTGCCTGTCGGGCTCGGCCGTGCGGCTGTGGAGGGCCCGAAGGCGGGGAGGGAAGGCCCGAGCGACAGGGAAAGCGAAAGCAGCGCTCAGATGCTGCTCGGCGAGGGCAGCAGCGCGGTGTGCCGCACGGGGAGGTGGATGCTGGCGGGGGGAGATGGATGCCGGGGCTGGAAAGGAGCAACAAGTGATGCGTGCAGGGAGTTGCCTCGGAATCGCTGGATACATTTGTAGTCAGAGTTCATGTACTGGAGAGGATCCAGCAGAGGCCACGAAGATAATTTGGAGTCCGGAACCTATGTCTTCATGAGGAGAGACTGCGTGTGCTGGGCCTATTCAGTCTGGAGAACAGAGGACTGAGAAGGGATCTCATTAATCCATATAAGTGTATGCACGGTGGATTACAAGAGGGTGATGCTAGGCTCTTCAGTGATGCCCAGCAAAAGGATGAGGAGCAGTGGCCATAAACTAGAACCCAAAAGTTTCACCTCGGTGTGAGAAACAGCTTTACATTAAGGATGGCAGAACATGCTGTGCAGGAAGCTTGTGGAGTCTCACTCTGGAGACATTGAAAACCTCCCTGGATACATTTCTTTGTCACCTGCTCCAGGTGACCCTGCCTTGTCAGGGGGGTTGTACTACATGATCTTCAGAGGTCCCTTCCAACCCCAACATTCTGTGATTCTCTGAAATCACTGTAGACAATTGCAGTCATTGTACATCTGTGCTGGTGTACCAGGGCCTGTTGTGTTATAGTGATGTTTGAGATGTTCCTCTCTCAATACCTGTTTTTAAGATGAATTCTGTTATTTAAACCACACATCAAGCATCCTCCTTTGCTGAAAGTTTTGCCGCTGCAAAATAAACTTAACTTTGTAACTTGCAGGTATTATGCCACAGCTGTATTTAATACTGATTTTTGAATTTTCAGCAATTTCTTTAGAGTCATAGAATCATTAAAGTTGTAAGAGACCTTTAGTCTCCAGTCCAGCTGTCCACCCAGCACCGCTACTGTAACCCCTAAACCATCTCATCCAGGGGTCTCTTGCACACCTCCAGGGATGGTAACTCCACCATCTCCCTGGGTAACCTATTCCAATGCTTGACTACCCTAACAATGTATTTTTTCCCCCTAATATCTAATCTGTATCTCCTCTGTCTCAGTTTAAGGCCCTTTCCTCTGGTCCTCTCACTGCAGGCACAGCAGAAGAAATCAGTCCCCACTTCACTAGAACCTCCTTTCAGGTATCATGACAGGGTTCCTACTTCCTTCACAGTTTGTTGTTTATGTAGTAGGTGTCTAAAACAGCTATCATGTAGATATTCTACATGTCTCTGGCAAAAGTGTTTCAATTGCTGCTTCTAATTTAACTCATGTTTTATTGCATGTGCATTTGAGCATTATTGTCAGTTGTACATCTGATGTAATTTACAGTTTATTGCAAAGAACTAAAATAATTCTATGCTTTTGGATGTAATTAGTATAGACACATGAATTTATTTCAAATTTGCCTTTATGGGTATGCTGTGTTTTAGTTGCCCTTTTAGGCTTCTGGAAATGGAGATTTCTGTATATGGAAAATTTTCTGGATATTCTCTTTATCAAAACCCAAACTAAAAATGTTACAGGAAATGTAGGAAAACATATACAGCTACAGCAGGGGATAAGCATCATGCTTCTGAGGCATGATGTAAGTTAGGCCTTGTAAGGCCTTGTAAGTTACAAACCAGTGTGTTTTGGGTTGGGTCTTGGCATTCAGGGCACCCACATGGCGAAACTAAGTTAGGCCTTGTAAGGCCTTGTAAGTTACAAACCAGTGTGTTTTGGGTAAGTCTTGGCATTCAGGGCACCCACATGGAGAAAGAGAAAGCAAGCATGCCCTTCATTTGCCAGTGGGATGAACCAAATTCTCTTTGTAGCCCAAGCCGTGTTGTTAAAGCAGATTGCCATGCCAGAAGCAGAGCCCATCTGGGATGCTGGTGCTCCCCATCTTTGCAGCTGTTGGTGGCTGGCCAGCACCACCCACAATACGTGTTATAGCAGAACTCTGGCTTTGTGTCTAGAGACTTACCTTCTCTGAAGGCAGCAGTGGCCACCCTGCCCTTTCTTACGAGGGTGGGCTTCAGACAGCTTAAAATGATATGGGTCTGTCATGTACAAGCTTAGGTTGGAGAGTTTAGCAAACTTATGTGATACCATTCTGTGGATGAGTGTGGCAGTTATTCCATGTAATTTTACACCAGCCCTCAGGTATTGTTGGAAATAAAAGTTTTCATGGTACAATCCTCAGCTCTAAAAGATGAGGGAGTAATTGGGATGAAAGCATTCATCAAATTTTGTTTACAAGAACAATTTTAATTTAACTTACAATTAATTTAGTATTTAAAAAGTAGTTAAAATTATTTTTAGATAGCCTCAGATGCTAATCCTGTTCCTGAAACTCCCTGACAGTTTTTGTGAGTTTTATTTTTTAATTTGTTTTTTTAATTTTTTTTTTAAGGTAACCATGTTTTTCTCTTGAAAAAGCCTGAAAACCTCCTATGTTTAGAATAAGCAGTAAGCCCATACAGTGCACGATCAAATGCCAGGTAAAATTATCAAAGGAGAAGAGTCTTTCCTCTTGTCTCCTTTTTCTAGCTTAACCTTTAATGCACTCAAGGAGGGCAGATCAGTTTTTGTCAGAAAGGAGTCACCTTTGTGCAGCTGGATTGGCACTGTTAACTGGAAAAATTAATTACTTTCTTATGCATTTGTTATTGTGTTTTCTTGGAAACGATGGGTTATGGTCCCAGAAGTTACGTCATTCTGCAGGAAGTGGACACTGCTGTGGCTGGGATACAGATGCTTCTGCTGGCCTTTGTGTGCACCACTGCAAGCCTGTTGGGCATTGAAAGGCCCAAATGACAGCTGTGTGTCCTGTGACACTGGAGCCTGTGTATGGGGAAGCAGCAATAACCACTTCATTAACTGCCTCCTCATTCCTGAGGGGAAAACTACACCTGGATTTAGGGTTGGTGGGTGTTGATTTGTCTTTGCTTTCAGCCTTTCGTCTGGAAAGGAAGGTGGCATGTGCCTTGCCTTTCTGCATCTCTTGGGATGAATAAGCACTTTGAGAGGATATAATGGTATCAGTACCTGGAATATTTAAGTGTGTAGCTGCTAAAAGAGGGGAGGGAGAGGAAGGAATTTGGATGAAGTACCTGCAGGGGCTGTGGACCAGAGTGGAAAGAAAGAGCTGTTCTACTCTCTGGAACATACTTGATGTCTTGTCGTCTGTTGCTGAATTGTTCCTTATGGTGCATTATTTCAGCTTCATGACATGGCACTGAACACTTCCAGTGCTTTCCTGATATGCTGCTGTTGGTTTTCATTATTTTTCTTTGGGGGTCAGAATGATAATTGATTGTTATGATATTATAATCTCTTCTAGTAATTGTTTTTCAGGTTGTGAAAACATGCTAATTTTAACGTGCAGTGGTGTGGTGTCTCTTTTGTTTCCTTGTCTTAGTTGTTGGTTGATGGGGTTGTGCAGTGAGATCATACACTAGGAGGACCTTTTACTACTGTAGAGTAGGACCTTTAAAAGAAGGATTATAAATCACAAGAATTTTTGGATTTCAGTGACAAGTGTAACAAACTGCAATTTAATTGTTCTTTGTGGTGAATTAAGATTTCCACAGTATCATCAGGAGGCCTTGACTGACTGTGGTATTTAAAACAAATTAGTTGGTTGTCCTGTGGAAAAGAATATTTTTATTTAGGAGGAGAAACTTCCATATTTCAAATTCAGCTATACTCCTGAATTATTTGTGCATTTAAAAAAATTCTAACTGGAAATTCAGAGGGAAGAAAAAAATGGTGACGAAAGTCTTCTCTCAGTCAGCTTTTTGTGAGTTACCCCATCTCTTTCCAAACTGAATTGCAGAATGTTGTGTACTGTTTAAATTAAGACTGTAAGAAGAGTAACAATAGGAAAACAAAAATACAACCAGTAGTGCATTTCCTGTTGTAATACTTGGTCTTCAAGGGAACACCTGTTTTACCACTGCTCCTAAACCTTTCCTGGTTCATGATCTCGTGTGCTGCAGGCATCAGGCTAAAAGAAACACTGAATTTTCTTTTCCTTCTTGGCCACAATTTTAACTTTCTAATTTCCTGTGGCGCTTAAGTCCTCCAGAGGACTTCATGGGCATTGTGTTACCTGACAATTAAGGAGATGGACAGTTCAGCAGTCACAGGAAAACTTCTGGATCAATGAAAGGCAGTGTTATACACCATATGGATTTTGAGAGATGTTCTTAGTGGACATATGTTGGTAAGATCCTTTGAAATACTTGAAATAAAAATGCTATAAAAGTCCAGAATTAAAAGGATAATTTTGTGTTATAGGCAAAAGAATAACTAATAGGGGATTAAAATTACCAGTAATGCTTAAACAGCTCAGCATGTAATAGTTCCATCAAATGCAAATGGCACTTCTAAACACTTCTAACCTTGATGCTGATGAAGACAAGAACCCAACAAAAAATGAACATATTTTTCCTGTGTGTTTTTTTGTTATACTGAAATCTTGCTCAGAAATCTAATAATGAGAAGCATAAAGGACAGGATTAATGAAGTGTTCTCATCCATGACCTCATAAATTCAGAAATGCTTTCTTTGCTGTGCTTTCCAGTGTTTTATCAAATTTAGCCTTAAATAACTTCTCCTTCTGTGGGAAAATATATTCTACTTCGTATTATATTGCTTTTAAGAAATGTTTTCTGATGCTTATCCTATGCCACCCCTCCTCCCTGAGTTCATCCCACTTTTTCATTTATGCCCCTATAGAGTCACGCTGTGTAATCCTCCCTCCTCTGTGATTTACATTATCATCATATTTCTCAGTAGCTATCAGCCAGACAGGCTAAATTATGTAGTTATTTTGATATCTTTTTCTGCCCTCTTTCAGAGGATATTGAAAATTTTAGCTTAGGAAGCAAACTTAAAAGTAAAACAAGGACTGATATTTTGCTTAAGAGCTACTGAGATTCTCTTTGTAACCGCCCCTGTATATTTTTTGGTGACTTGGGATTTCCAGTTTGGCAGGTTGGTTACAAATGGTACTGCCAATCTTTTGAGTTAAAGATCATGATTGCACTTCAGATGCTTTGCTAGAGCAAAGTTCTTTTTTCTCTTGAGTTCATTTTTTGTCATGTATAAATGTGTATGTGAGTGTGCAGTAAAACATGTAAATAGGTATTTAGGCATGCACATGGTCATGCTGTGGTGGTAAAGGTCATGCTCTTCATCTCTGATTCTCCATGTTTCAGCCTTGGGGACTGGTGCACAGCTAACACAGTGTTGTGGGTTTTTTTCTGCTTTCCCAGTCTCATGTCTCAAGTATGTGAAATCAAGACATCCTGCTGGTCATGTGCATCCCGCTTCTTCTGCTTTCTGGGTTGTGGGCATGGCCTTTCTTGTCAGATGACACTAGAGGCCAGCTCCACTGAAGGACTACTGCTTAAGTCCTTCTCTGAAAATCTGCTGCAAGTAGCTGTTTTCTTACAAATAATTCTTGTGTGATTATTTGTTGGAAACAATTCCTAGATCAAAGTATCAGTAGGTGTAGAAGTATCACGTTGCTATGAGGTAGTGTGGATCTGATGTAAGAAAACATGTTATCCAAGGACATCTCTTTCTTTTAGTAAAAGGAAAATTAAGCAAAATTATTGTTTACAGTGGATGGGTAAATCATCAAGGATTAAGGTGGATTTTAAGTAGGCAATCTGTTTAGTTTTCTGACTGTGGGTTGAGGGGACGGGGAATATGATTTTCCACTTGTAACACATTTTCATTTTATGTGGTGCTGTGCATCCATGTATGACTTTGTTCTAGTAACTTGGACTTTTGATCCAGCAAAAAAAATCAACAGCTTGAATAGGAAACTGAAGCAGATTGTTTCTAGAGATGAAAGACTATGGAGCAATGCTTTAATTGAAATGAGGAAAACAACATAGCCATATTTGGGATTGTAGCAATGGTAGAGTTTAAGATACTTACTTTTGCATGATCCTTGACATTTTTGATCTTTCATCTTGTGTCAGTATTGGTTTTATGTTCTCAGAGCTCTGACAATGAGTGATAGTGCATTAGGGACATGTTCCTGTATATATCATGTTTCTGATGCATTTGTAAGATCAGCTGAATTGTCAATACTTCCTTACATGCTTTCATAGTTCTACATAGAACTCTCTTTTTATTTATTTCTGCTTCTGTTTTCTGTATCTGTGGTGACTCTGTCAAAATTTTTCTTTCAGCCTGAGAAGGGGCAAAGCACTGACTAAAGCTAACAGAAAAGAGAAGCAGAGCTGAAGAAATATTATCTCTGCTTGCAGGTAAATAAGTAAAAAAAAAATTAGTTTTCTGAATCTTTCACACCAGCACTGCCAGCCTTTTTAGTTGGTAGCAAGTTTTCAGTCCTCCATTTTAATTAATAATTAAATTTTAATTTATTGAGTAAATAAAAAAAATCTTTCTTCATCTTCACCAACTGCTATGGACATGTATGATAGCTATATAAATTTGCTTTCCATATAGAATTCATGCATTTTCTTACTCCTAATACAAAGAAAATTACAAGACTTGAGACATAAAGATAGGTGTGTAACAATAATGAGAGAGAGAGAGAAAGAGGGAGAGGTAGAAGATAATAATCTTCTGAAGAAGAAATTCAGACAGACCAATTTTATCATCTTGATATTGGAGTATGTCCAGATCCTTGAATATAATCCCTTTGAAATCTGCCTAACTACCTAGGCAATAAGTTGCTGTTCAGTGTGAGAAGAGGTGGCAAATTAAGTTCTCCTCATTTTACATGCCCGTTTTATTCATGTGAGATAAGACAGGAGAGGATGGGATGGGATGGGATGGGATGGGATGGGATGGGATGGGATGGGATGGGATGGGATGCTCTGGTGGATGAACTCAGGAAGGTATGGAGAGGCAATAGTTAGGACTTTACAGACCCCACCATTAACCTTCCAGTCTCTTCCCTATGTGACCCTGTGGCAGCATCAGCAAAAGGCAGTGTGTGTCAGTGGCTCCTAATAAGGTTTGTGTCTTCCCTCCAGCTGGGAATGAATGTTGATTTAGATGGGGATGCAGACCTATGAAGTGGAGCTGCCAACTTTCCTATAGGAATGGGTTTACAGTTTGCTGAAAGGTGGGAAAGAGGAATGGGGAAAGAAATATTTTGAAATACTGTTCTGGGAACATTAGTGAGAGTTCATCTGTCTGGAGACTTAATTTAAGTAGCTCCTTGTTCTACAATTTCTGTGATTAACTTTTTCAGGTATGTTTTGTAGCCTAGTATTGGTTTAGATCAAGGTCAGGTTGTGGGGATTTTTGGTGTTGTTGTTGCTGTTGTTTTATTTTGTTTGTTTGCATGTTTGTTTTAACCTGGTGGTACACATGCTTTGTTTCCTTTAATTCATTTTTTTGCACTCGATTTTAATCATTGTTTAACTTTTTCCTTTTTTGGAAATGATTCCTGGTGAAGTAGATGTGGTGTGTCTGAAACAGAGAAAACAGATAAACAGAGCAAATTATCAGGTCCTCACACCAATTTAATAGTACTTTCTTTGTGTGTGTGTATGTAGGATTTCAAAATTGATTTGACTTTCAAGAAAGTTTTCAAGACCTTGACTGAGAGTGTTCTTACTTTTGAGAGAATTTACATAATTTAAAAAATTGCTTTCTTACTTATTTTGACTATGAACATAGCTTTTTTTTAAACATTTGTTTTAACCTTGATTTTATTATAGTAATTGCTTACAGTGTGAAAATTGCATAGTGCATTACACCAGCTCTTCCCGTGGGAAGGCATTATTGTAAAATGGACAGATATGGTACGGTATGTGTAAAATTATCACATATTGAAGAGGTAATTAAATATTGGCTCTATATAGGTTTGTTGAACTTAGAATATCTGCTTGCTTTTTATATTGGCACACTAACTTTGTCAAGTTTTATAAAAGAATGTTGTTCTAAACAGACAGATGTGGCTTGATAGAGGTTAACTTTTTCTGTTTCCCTTCTGTCCCTCCTCCTCCCTGCACAGGTTGTGGTTCTTATTCCACCCTCCACTTCCACTTGCTATGTATCTTATTTTTATACTGCCATTGTATTGCTGTTCCGTTGGGGTAGGTTATATTCTTGATAAAGTATTCATTCTACAAACAGAAGCTCTGCTGGATAGACTTGAACTGAGTATGTGGGAACACCACGTTTATTCTAGTTACTTTGTCAGACTTCCTGAGTTGTTATTTAAAGGATTGTTGTTATTTAAAGGATTCATTTTTTTAATAAATTTAAGAGAAATTGCAGATTCTACCAAATCCTATTTTGTCACCTGATATTAGGAGTTCATTTGACCCCAGTGTCCCCTGGGGTCTCAGTCCTGACCCTGAGTGGCAGACCCTGCCTGGCCTGTGTGGAACACAATCTTTCAGTATGTGGCAAATTGCAATTCTGCAGATGGTTTTAAAGAAAACAAACCAAAACAATTATTATGTTTTAATTTTTATTCTCTCAATAAGTAACAGATGTGGCATTAACTGAAGATTGTTTAGTGATATGTGACCTTAAGCTATAATAACATCTTATTCTTCATTAATAATAAAAACTTGATTCTTTCATGTTGTTATTTTCTTTACTTCCCTGACTTTCATATCTTCTTTCACCTAGTCAATGTGTATGTCTTGGCTCGGAATGCAAGATGAGATGATGTTGCCTTCAGTATCTAAAGACTGGATGGAGAAATACTTCTGTGTATAGTCTTAAATGTATGTGTATATATATATACACATATATATATATATATATATATATATATATATGCACTTCTGTGCCATAGTCTGAGATGTGCATTCTGAGTTCTGTCTTAAGTTTTCTTTCACTGAGGCTTGTTCTGGCAGGAAGTGTGACTTGCAAACATCTGGTATCACAGAAGGGTTCTCTGACATAATTAAAATATGTGGCTTTCTCATGGCTTTTCAAATAAATATTTTCTTTTGTTCTTTGAGGTGGGCTTTGTCTAGAGTAAGTATGTCAGCATTAGCAAGCATTACAGAGATGTTGCCCGGGAACATTACAGATGTTAAAACACGAAGCTGCTTGGGAGCCCATTATCCTAGGGAGCTGTGAGCCATGAACTCAAGTATTTCCTGTTTTCTAGCATTAATGACAAGGAAAGAAGTTAGCAATACTAGTCTTGTTCTTTTTAATGTGATGCTTTAAAGCCTTTTTTTTTTAAATCTGGTGATAGCGGGACCTCATGGAGACACAGTTTAAATCTGTTTTAAGTCATGTTTGCCTTGCTTTGATTGCTACAGAATATTTTGGAACTAGTTCTTCTTTAACGAGTTATTGGAGATGTCAGCACCTCTGAAATGCTGTAAAGGCAGTCATGTTCAGATGTAATCAAATACAGTGTTATGAGGTAGGTTTGCCTGAACACATATGAATCAATCCTGGCTCTAAAATTTTAACAAAACCATAGTACAGTTGTATCAGGAAATTATAACAGGATTGAGCAAATGCATTTTAAAATTTGACTTATATTTATTTGAATAGGCAGAACTTTAAATTGAGGGGACTTATATTTATCATGAATATTTATCAGCAGCATTGTTTATAATTCAGTGTCAGTTGTTGCAGTTGAAGTCTTTGTAAGGAAAATACTACTTTTTTACCCTTAGGCTTTAAACATCGTTAATATATTTATTTAGCTGTAGTTACAGAAGGTGTTTCATAATATAAATAGAATTTTTGCAAATCAGGTTTTCTGTTTTTTAGTAACCCATATACATTCATAACTGTAGAATATGCAAGGTAGAATTTTTCAGCTGGTTGATGGAGGTTGGCTAGATAGTTAATTCGTGAGTGCCTTCTTGGGTACACTTCTTAAAATAGCAAAACAAGTCTTTCATCTTGCAGCTCAGCAGTGTATTGGAAGACTGAGGAGGCAGTACACAGCCTTGACAGTCATGTGGGATTTAGAAGAGGTACATTATCCATTCACCTGTGGTAAATTGTAGTGCTGGAATCAAGGATATAACAGCAAAGTAGTTAAAAAATAAATACGCAAATAGAGTAAATAAGTTTGCTAAAGAGATCAGGGTAAAGGAAAGCAGACTGAAAATGTTTAGTAGTGCAATCTTACTTCATTTTTGTTTTACCTTCTGAAATTCGTATTGCTGTGATTGCATAAATATCTGTATTGACACAGATACTGTGATTGTGCGAGACTTGCTGGCAGAGCTGTCTGTATTGTTTTCAAATTTTGCTGTTCACAAGAGTCCAGCATTTTGTGTAGGTTAAATGGGTTGGAATGAACTGTGTCATTTAAAAAGTGATGTGGTGAGTTGTTTTGGTTTTTTTCCTTTTGCAACATGCAAGTCAATACTGCACTCTGTGTAGACTAGCTGCCTTTCCCTATTCTTCTGCTTTTTTTTGGTTTTTTTTTTTTCATGCTTTACTCATGTTTGCAGCCCATGTGATTTGGTATCAAATGCAAATGATAATACAAAGTTTCTAAACAAATTTTGTGTGCTGTAACATAGAATATATTTTCAATTCTAGCTTAAGACTTTGGGTTAATGGTTCTTGAGAGATGAAGGGGTCTTCTGCTTCTAGACCACAGTAACAGTAAGGGAACACAACAGCCTAAGTCACTAGCACATAAATGGGAGAATAAAAAAAAATCTGGTTGTTGATTACTGTTTCACTCACTCAATAGAAAAGAGCTTCAGTGATAAGAAATTGTGCAAAACCAGTAAAGGTTTTCACATTATGTAAGAAAAAGTGTTGCAGCAAATAGAATTTACTTTTTAGTAGGTCCCATTTAACATTTCAGACACAGTGGGCTCTTATTAAGGGGAGTGAGCTGATAGCAGTGTTTTAAAGTATAAGAAAGTATCTCTTTTTCCCTCAAGGGCAGTATTAGCACGTAGGTAAATTTATAGGACTCAGATTTTACTCATTGTACCTTAAACTATAAGTCTATTATCCTGTAACTCTGCTGTACTCAGGCAAGGGCTGAGTTTTAAGAACCATTTCTTACATGTCTGGACCCAGTAAAAAAGCTCTACTAACATTGTTTTTAATTGGATGCCTAAAAGTGGCTCTGCAGAAAACTTCCCTGTCAAAGAGAAACAGGAGAAAGACAATAGGGATTTCAGTCATCAGTTTCTGACATCACTCTCTTTACATCTCTTTCATCTCACACAGTGGTTGAGAGAGAAGGGGCAATCCTACTGGGAGATTTCACATTCTCATTCAGGATTTTAGAGCTCCATGAGAGATGATTTTGCCTGGCATGGGAATAAAATCCTGCCGCTCTAACTCCCTGCTCCTGAAGTTCCCAGTGGCACAGCAGAGTTGTCTACGGCTTCTGAGTAGGTAAAGTGAAAGAGACCTGAGTTGTGATAATAAAAGTTGTAGTAGCACCATTCTCTTCCCATTGGTATTAGTGTGTTTCTCCAAAATGAATTAGAATGAGCTGATGATTAAAAAAAAAAACCTTTTCCAACAGGAAATGCTTGAAATCTGTCTTAGAATACAAAAGATGTGAGGTGGGCAACTAGGCAGTGCTGCATACATAAATGTTATTGGAACTATGTCAAAACACCATTTTTCATTTCAGCTTGTGTCCTGGTAGAGATGGAATATGAAGTTTCAGTCACAGACAGTGTTCTTCCTGTTGAAAGCTGACAACTTCAGTTTTCATTTAACTGACTGTTGATTCTTGAACAGGAAGGATTATTTTTTAAAATTTAATTTCCTCTGTGATACTCATTGCATTTGAGACATCACGCAGTGGCTATTAAAAGTGATGCATATATTAAATTCCCAAATAAAGATTTTAGAGCAACTCCTGCCCAGCTCTGTTTTAAATAAATTAGAGCCTTTAGGCTGATCTGAAAGGACATTTGCTGAAATCATGGCTACAAAGCACCTGGACAGCACTGGGGGATGAGTTTTGAGATGATAAAATTAAATTATCATTTTTAATGCAAATATTTAGTGAAAAAGAGAATGTGAAAAAACATTGTTAATAAGAATTGAAGCAAAGGCTATTCAGATAGGTTTCATAAATGTTATGTCCAGTTTACTGAAGTTGTTTGGCAGTTGTGACATTGCATTGCAAATGTAACTAGAAATAGATATTTGATCTGGGGACAGATTCTTTTTTTTTTTTTTCTTTAAATGACATTAATTTGTTTTTCTGTTAATCTTAGAAAGCCTTATAAATTTAGTGCCCTATTTCCAGTACATTGGACTAACATTTTACATGCTCAGGTATGGCAACACATTGTTGCAGGGGTGAACAGTGGGACACAAAATAAATTTATAATAAATGTGTATGAAAGAGGCAGTTGAAATCTTTTAAAGGTTTTGATGTAACAGTAATGTTAGTAGTCAGTTTTCCTTCCAAACCTGGAGGAGCCTCTAATCCACCTTCATGGAAAAGTTTACTTAATTTTATGCACTGTAGTCAACTGTCAAATAATTAATTTAAAATTCAGATCTGAGGGGAAATACAAAATCACTAAATCTGTAGACTCATATGGAGTCCTCTTCACTTTCACACTGTTGGAGTGCTTTTTGATAAAGAAGAAAGAGGATGGAGTAGCAGCTAGATGTCTGGAACTGATCCACAGTTCATTGAATTAAATTGAAATTTTTTTTCATTAACTTTGATCATCCTTGGATTGAACTGGTATGCATATGATTTAATTAGTAGCAAGCTCGGGAAATGCTGGGATGTTGGCTTTCCTAGTTCCTTACCTACTGAGATGGTAATTACATAAACCAATATATTTGTGTGCCTATGATATGGCAAGTGCAGAAGTACCCACCATTGACTTTCCTAGTGGTGAACCTCCATTTTAGAGAGACATTTTATGCTAAACCTCTTTTTCTTCATTTCTTTCTAATGATAAGATCCAATCTGCCCGTCTTTCATTCATTACACATAAAACAGATCTGTTTCTGTGTCATTGAAAATACTTGTGTTCTGGAAAAGGGAGCAAATTGTAACTTTATTCTATGTCTGATTTTGAAATACATTAATTCCTTCTCTCCCTCACAT